CAAATCACATTTTCCCTTTTTCCCTAACAAAATCCTGCAGAATGCTTCTGCTGGGTGAAAACACATGAAAGCTAAGAAGATGTAGTTCACACATTCATTTATTCATAACATGGGAGTATTTTGTCACCATTATTTCAATCATTAAATTAGAACTCTGGAAGCACAAAAATAAAATGTGTTTATAATGGTCCCACATTAAAGTAGAACAGTGCCAAAAATATTTCCTTTAAATAGAGTTGCTGATTTCTTACAAAAATAAGACAAAGGTCCTCACTGCTAAAAGGTCCTCACTGCTAAAATACATTTTGCAGTTATTACAGGTTCTGCTCTGTGATAAATCATGCAACCCATACAGATTGTGGAAGCAACTGAACATGCACAGGAGACATCACCAAACATTAAGGAAATATTGCAGGAGCTTCTGTGGAAACAAGACTCACAAAGAACAAAGTAGATGGGTGAAGCAACAAAGATCCTGCCACTTAAAACAGAACCTGCTGTGGAAAACATTTATTTTTTTAATGTATACTTGAGTGCTCAGACTGAACATTGGCATCCTTCTCAATTTATTTTTTTTTCTCCAATGTTCCTGAAAGGGTGGAATTTTTATGTTAGAAACAACAAGGCACAAAGTTTGTGCAAACCTGAACATTTTAAAATTCAGCAAAGAAAGCATTAAAAAAATTGGAGGAAATGTGTATGACATTTAAGTGCTGAAAAATAAATAAAACCACTTCAGATTTAATAAAGATTGTCTCCTGATTATTGTCTTCTACTATAACGGTAAGACCACTCCAGCATGAAAGGTTACCTGACAAAACCAAAAGTAAATGTATTTAAATCTGTTAGAACAAAAGCCTAAATATAGGCAATGGTAAAACCAAGTATTTTCTGATAACATCTTCTTAAGCCAAAATTTTGTCCACCAATACCCACACACTAAGAAAAATAGAACAGTCCTGGTTTTTTTCTTAATAAAATAACAGTGGAAAAGAGTCTTGTTTAACAAGTCAGTAAGAAATTCTTTACAGCATTAGCTCATAACTTTTATAAGCAGAATGATCCAAAAAAATAGATCTGATGCATACCTCAATTAACACCTATATGAAAAAAAAAGGTTAGCATTTCATTATGTTAATCATGTGCAATAATGTCATATTCATCCTCTACCACAAAACAAGTAACATTTTCAACATGTTTAAAAAATAACCCAAAAGTCTACAAAAAGGGGGAAAAAATCACCTTCATGCTTTGGGAACTAGCTAGCTAGAAGACATGTCTTCAACATATTTCTCTACAGGAGTCATGGACTTGGCTTGTACAGCTCAACTCAGTTACTCAGCATGATCTTGGCCAGTGCTAGGAAAACATTTGGCTCATTTCCACAGTTGCTTTCTCTGAAATGCTGATGGGGGAAAAAAAAGTCATGCCAATGAGATGCTTCACATCTATCTAGCATCATATTCAGCAGAGGGCCAGGCCAGCTCTGCAGAGTTTATGATGTCAGAGTTTATGTATTTAACTCGGTAACATGCTGGACAGCTCTCCCTGGAGCTCCACCCTAGTCCCAGCATCTCAGCCTGCCTCCATCAAGGTACTCCATCCATCCTCAAACCCAAAAGACCAAGGTGCTTATCAGAAAAACCCTTTCTTTCTAATGTCATATGGAGATTAGGGTTTTAAATGGAGATTAGGGATTGCTTTGCAACTCTCTCCAGTCACTCATTGTAATGATTTTATAGGACATCATGAAGAATCTTTTCCATTACATTATTATCAGATTTAGAAGAAATGTCACATTGCCCCCTCTCACTGGTATGTGTAGGCAAGAAAACCTCATACTGGAGTCAGAACCTTGGAAAGGAGTAAAAAATGGGAGACTATTCCTTCAAACAAGGAAAGTGGCCAATTTGATTTTCAAAGCCTTCAAATTTTCCCAGACAATGCTTGAAAACCATGAAAGCTCGCCTAGCTTCCATTGCCAGAAAGGAATAAAAAAAAAGCTGCTGAAATTTAGTAAATTGTTTCCATATACTTTTCTAAAATGGGTATGTATGACTAGGATTTTATTAGTGATCTTTTTGGCCAAATGAAACAAGGCCATTCAATCAACTCAGCAGCATTTTCTGCTCTGTAGACCAATAACTTCTGTTATAACTGTAATATTACACATGATAGACCCAAGACTTCCAGAAAAACTTTTAAATAACACGAATCACAAATTTTGTTAATTTTATGAGATTGTGGAGTGCTCTTGCTTTTGGAGGGTGGGGAACTTGTGCAATTTGTGTGGTACTAGATGTGTGGTTTTGGTGAGAAAGTATCTAAACTGTGGCATTTCCAGTCCACACAGACATCTTCAGCCCAATTACTGCTTCCCAATCTATAGTTCTTGTAGGGAAATAAACAGACTGTGCTCATGTCTGCACCTCATAGAGTTTTAGAGGCCTATAAATGCCCTATACTGCAAAATCAGAACACTTTAATCTGAGCTTTGATTTTTTTCCCCAGACTACAATAGTTCATTAGTTGGACAGACTAAATTTAGACTCAGGAAAACCCCCAAGTCCCTCAGAATCTCATCACGTAACTAAACCAGTATTTTCACAGAATCACAGATTATGCTGAGTTGGAAGGGACCCACAGGGATCATCAAGTCCAACTCTCATCTCTGCACAGGACCATCCTCAAGAGTCACACCATGTGCCCGAGAGTATTGTCCAAACACTGTCCTATTTTAAAGAGCTGTGGTTGATCTCTGTGGGAAAAATAACAGCCCTTAGACAAAACCTGTTGAAAGGAACTATCTATTCTTCCCAGCACTGAAGGGTTCCCAAACCTCAGCTTCCTATTTGCTTTATACGAGTGACAGTTCTATAGCCTTTTTGCTTATCCTTAAATATTTACTATTGCATCACATGCATCTGAGGTTATAACATGCTAATCACAAACTGCTTTTGTACTTACTTGATGGTTACTCTGTTTGATGTGTCCTGCAGATCACCAGGATCAAAAAGCTGAGATTCCTTAAGTCCCAGTTCTTTGCAGCCTCTTAAGAATAATATGATATTATCCTGAAAAGAGACACAAAAAAACCCCCAACACTTTTAACTCTCCTTCATTTAAAAATATATCTTACCAAACCAACCTCTTTCTAACTCTGTATCTGTTCATACCACCAGCTAAATGAAGAACCAAAGACATTTCCAGTCACATAATTTAAGAAGTCAGTATAGATTTTGTTTGGAAACCTGATAGATATTAAACTTCTTTCCTTTTCATTTTTCCCCCCAAAATATGTAACTGCAACAAGCTTATTGACTTGCTTCTTTTCAAACTCAGATGTTGGCAACTTTTTTAACTGAAAAAGCCCTGCTAATTTCCCCACCTACTGATGTAGGTTGCCAACACAATCTCAGCATGTTATGGGATAGAAACGGCAGGATTTCTGAAGGAAGCAGGAAGAATAGATATGAAACAGCCCACCACCATTTAAGCAAGCAGCTTGTTCAGAAAAGATCTTCCATGTCAATATGAGCAAGCCAGTTAACACAACTGCTCTCTTGCCTCTCCAGCCTTAACCAGTCAGAAGCCACTGAAAAAACAGTGGCTTCTTCTGAAATAAAAACCTTGAAGCTACACTTAATGTGACCGCTGTCTGTAAGAAGAAACAACACCAATTGTGTAACACTTTTTATGAAGGATTTACACTTTTCAAAGGGTAAAAATTAAAAACCTATAACTAAGACAGACTAAGCACAAACTGATATAATCCTCTTTCAAACCAAATGCAAGTGATGACACATAGGTTTGCACGCAGGGGATTACAAGCTGGTCTCCAGGAAGGCCTAGAGTGAAACCATCACAACCTTTACAGTTAATAAATGTTTTATACTTACACACATGTAGGTACACTGCTACCTTTTACAGAACCAGTAAATATTTCTTACATGGATACATCTTGAAGGTCAGTAGAGAACAAGTGTTTAGATATCTATATTTCTAGATCAGCAACTGCAACACTAGATGTGTGAAGAAGTAAAGACATAATGTACAGCTTGATATTCTCTGAGGCCTCTCATCTTAAATCTCCAACTAAATTTAAGCTGCCACGTGAAGAGTTACAAAGGAGCAGAACCACAAAGTGTGGCAGAGAACTCTGTTTTTGTAAAACCTAGGAACCAGAGGAGCCTGGGTAGTGTTTAGCTCTTACCCACCCTTCGTGACAGAGCAGGATTCATGAGCAGGGCTCTCCCCACATCTGCTCCCAGGCCTTTGTTTGGGTGGGAGGCCATGGCTCCTCGAGAGCAGCCCTGTTTGTTCTGTTTCGGGACAGCAATCAGAATGCTAATCACTGCAGCTCTCAGCATGCCAACACTCTCGCACACAAAGCTCGCCAGCCACACCGCAAAAAATAAAGACTTGGAAATTCAGAGGAGTCCAAATCTCCCTTTCTTCCCTGGCTGAAATTTAACAGCTCTGGAGGGGAGCCAGGGGGAAAGGAACAGCAGTCGAGAGAGCAGAGTGCCCATAACCCAGGGAGACAGCATCATTCATGACACGAAAAGATGCTTGTAAAATTCTCCATCTGGTTTACTGTTTGCACTATAATTTTTCCAACTGCATTGTGAATAACTCTTGTGTTTGGTCTTTGATGGAGGACAGTTCTGGTCACTTTCAAATGCTGGGTAGATCAATGTGTAAATCTAATGAAAATGCAAAAGCATTCAAAAAAAGTTCCAAACAGTATTTCCAAATTTAACAAAAATATACAGGACACAGAGGACATAGTAACCTAATAGGCTTAGAAAACAACCAAAGGAGGAGGAACGCGGGAGATAACTAATTGCATCCATCTTTATGCCAAAAGTTCACAGCCAAGTTATGATAAGCAGTAACAAAAACACCAGTCCGTTTGGCAGCCATGTAGTTTGGAAACTCAGTTCTTCTGTTGATGAACAAATGCCCACTTCTCACAAAACAGTGTCACCACCCTATGCCTGTTTGCCTACATGCTTTTATTTTGATGGTCATCATAGGAAAAACACTCGCCAACAGTCACTAACATCATCACCCAAACAATTCCTCAGAAAGTTAGTATCTTGTATGGGCACAAAGAATCACACATAACAACAAGATGCAATCAGTGAGTGCAGAAAGAAGTTTTTACTTTTGCTAACAATCTCGTAATTTTTATTTCCCAATGGTACTAAAAATGGCCATTTGTTTAAACAGACTGAAAAAAAAGGCCAACAAAAAAGATGTTTTCAGGTGTCATATTTATTCAAGAACACCTGCCTAGGCTGCCTAAGCCCAAGCCAAAAACGTATCTCATTCTAGTGCAAAACTAAACTTTTCCTAGTTTGCTCTAGTACAGATGAAATTCGCATGTTAGTACCACTGAGACACTGGAGAAAAGCAGTCATAAGCCACTAAAAGGAGAAAGGAGTCTTAACATTAAGACCTAGCTCCCAGCAAAGCTTTCTCGCAGGATTACTACACTTTGCATCGATCAGGTCCTGTCTTCTTCAGTTTTCAAAAGTTTTTTTTACATCTTTTGAGAGGATTTTTTGTTCAGCGTCTGTTAGTTGCAACTATGCATGTTTTGTAGTCACCTGAAGTACTCCTTTCTGTCATTGCTGAAGAAACTAAAAAAGAAAAAGACCCCAGGTTTACAAGTAGCAATGTGCATGAAACATCCTTACTTTAAATAAGTGACTGAAAAGGCACATTTAATGTGCCTGCCCAGCTCCTTACAACTTGACAGAGTTAAATAGGTCATGCAAATGGGTCACGCTGCAATGGCAAGGATCGCAGCGTGGCCAGCTGCTGTGCCTCAGCTAACGGAGTGGTATCTTTTACAGTGGTCTCAGAAGACACACGACCAGAATTTGGTCCCTTTGGCAGTCCCTACAAGGCACTAGCACACAATTTCATCAATACATTAGATGGAGATGATATTGCCTTTCTCTCAGCTATTACTTGCGGCAACTGTCTCATGCTGACTCCTCTTGGTTTTACTCCACAGCATTACAATCAAAAGTCTTTTGGCTTTTGTCCTTCATACACACAGAGGAAAAGCAAGTTGATAGGTTACAGTCTAAATTTATTTTGCGAATTTTCTCTATTCTTTTAAAATGTAAAATTTTCTATCTATAAATATATTTATACAGATCTATAAATTATAAATCTATAATCTAGAGATATCTACAGATAGCTATAAAATTTTAACTACGCTTAATTGATAAGATGACAGAAAGTCTAAATAGGCTGCTTACAGAAGACAAACACTTCAGTGTGGTGACAGACACAGGACACAAGCCTAGGATACACTGACAGATTAAATCCCAACACTTTTCTGCTTTCCTCAGCAGAGTCCTGAGAGTTCTTGTTAGATCAGCACTATAAGCAATGTCATTTACTTGTCAGTATAGAAAACCAAAAATTATTAATGTAACTGTTTTGCTTTACTGAATTTCAGAAACAAAAAATTAACCAACACACAAAACTACGAACTCCCAGGCAAAGTCAGCCATGAACCACTAAGAAGGGTCATGGACAGATAAGGGTGCAGAAAGGGAAAAGGGAAGGGAAAAATGCTCCTGCACTCATAACTTCATTTCAACACCATCACCTTTTCATCCTTTCTGGTGTGTAATTGACAGACTTACCTCTACAAAATCACTTTGCCAGGAAAACCACCTGCAGGTAATGCAGAGAGAGTAGGTGGTAGAGGGGCTACACCTTTATGAAAGTGCAGGGAGGAAAAAATAATGCACTGCTCACTTGTAATCATTTTTTGTTTGGTTGGTTTTAACCTCTGTATTACAAATATGAAAAAATGTTCACTGTATAGCATTAAGTCATTTTCCTCATGCACAAAGTGCATGTACAAAATCCTGAATCCTGTAAAAAACCCCAGAAATTGGCAGTTGAGCAGGACAGACACCCTGGAAAGTCACTACAAATTCACACAGTAGCACAGCCAACACACAAGATAGCTCAAGCTAGCGAGAATCAAATATTCACAGCAGGCAAATTCTCTCCATAGGATCTGCTGATCAGATGCAATGGCAAACAGCTTGAATTTGGCCCACTTCCATTCCTTTCATCTGCCACAATAGTATACAAAACATTCTCACTGTATTCGCACTGCAAATCGGTCCTACAGCTTATCACTGTGGAGCCATCATTTGTCAATCTGCTACTGCATGGCCTGGATGAGATATACAGATAAACCTGGGGAAAATAAAAGCTAGCCTAGCTGTATGTCTGCATGGAACACTGCATAAAATGCCAAATACATGCCACTTCTGTGAGTTGGAGATATTATTAGTTACCAGTAGCACTGCTCTGTTTTGCAGGACAGCTGCAGACAAACAGGTGGCCTTTTTCATTTCTGGAATGCCGATATTTTCCCCGCTCCAGAATAAATTGGAAGATCTCTTAAAAAAAATTTCCAAACTGCTTTTCTGAGCAATTTCCAATTCAGACTCTTTAAAGCCTTTTGTTTGCTCTCAACATATCTTCCAAATTCTCTTATTTTTTCCATTTTATGTAAATAATTAGTGGTGGTAATTTATCTACATAAAAGCAATGGATCTTGTCTGATTCACAGGCTCACAGAAATATTGAAATACTCTGTTCAAGCACACCAGGAAAAAACTTTTTATGAGAAAGGCTGGGAACTTTTTACATATATGTGTGTGTGTGTGTGTATATATATATGTGTATATATATGCATATACATACATACATACACATATAAGTACGTATATATATTACTATTTATCCAATATGCTTTACTGTATATGTTTCACTATATTTGTGGTTAACTATATATATGTATGTTTCACTATATATATGTGTGGTTTACTGTTTATACAATACACTTCACTGTATATATAACAACACTTCACAAAACATAGCTTTCTGTGGCAGATTTGAAATCACTAAATTTGGGAAGAACTCGATCGCAGCTGGGACATATTCACTTAGAAGCTGAGATGGTTAATCTCCAGAAGAGGAAGGCTGACAGCACACCAGAACTGAAGGCAACTACCCCCCCAGAACAGCAAGGGGAGTCAGGGCTGCTTACATCCCAAAAAGATTCTGTCACTCAATAGCCTCACCCACGAAAATTAAACGCTACTGGGGAAAAACAGAAACAGATGGACCCCGGGAGCATGGAGGGAAAGCAGGACTTACCAGCCCGCCAGCCGGACCGATCCTCTTGTCCCCCAGCGGCAGCCGGGCCGGGCGGGAGCGGCACAGCTGCTGCCGCTGCAGCCCCAACTCCACCCACCGCAGCGCCGCTTCCCGGCACCCGCCCGGGCACGGCGCGGCTGGAGGGCAAAGCACCAAAGTTAACGAGCGTGGGATCCTGTGAGCCGCGAAGGCAGAAGGCAGGTCCAGAGAATAAACACAGCGATGATCAGACTGAACCAGCAGGAGTAGGGCACACCGGGCGGGCATGCCGGCTCCGTAGGCAGGGCCTTCCAGCACGTCGCTGGAAGAAGCTGACAAAGACTATCTTTGCCAAGAAAGCGCAGCCTTTGTCTGCTTCTTTTTGCCCAGTCAACAAAGAAAAGATGCGCCTCCTCCAACAACAGCCCTGCTCCCTTAACAAAAAGGCAAAACCCACCTTAAAACTGTATGAAGAAATGGGCCGGTTGGTACCATACTCCAACTGCACAAAACACACCAGAAACCCTAAACATGGCTCTAAGCAACCTTCAAGTAACATCTAAGGCTGGCTGAAGATAGAATCATAGATTTATAGAATCATCAAGGTTAGAAGAGACCTTCAAGATCATCCTGTCCAGCTGTCCACACAGCATTACCACTGCAGCCCCTAAACCACTAAACCACATCACCCAGCACCAGAACCAGACACCTCTTGAATACCTCCAGGGGTGGCGACTCCACTACCTCCCTGGGCAACCTATACCAAGGCCATTTCCTCTAGTCCTCTCACTGCAGGCATGGTGGAAGAAACTGACCACCACCTCACTACAACCAACCTCTTTTCAGATAGTTGTAGAGAGAAATGAGGTCCCCGTGGAGCCTCTTCTTCTCTAGACTAAACAAACCCAGCTCCCTCTGTGTTGCTCAGTACCCTTCCCCAAAGATCTCGCTGGAAGTGCCAAGGTGTTTAGATCCTGCTGCTCCCAACCAGGCTCACTAGGTGCTGCAAGTGCCTAGAGCAAGAAGATGGGAGGAAGGCAGGGGGGGCTATAAAAAGCAAGCTAAAAATAAATGAAATGTGTTAAGCAAAGCAAATTTTGAGTACACTTGTCCTCAAGAAACTAAAAAGCAAATTTAAAATTAAAAGCTTGCAATTCTTTGAGAAAATCAGAAGCACAGCAGCACTACTCAAGAAATTGTCTTGATATTTTCCTACATCTGTACTTCACCACCAGATTATTTGCTTTTTAAGATCTTTGTCCTGTAACAAATTTCAGCCACCTTTATAAGCTCCTTATGCAATGCAGTGTATTACTACCATTTGTATGATCGTCATAACTAAAATCCCCAAACAGGAATGACCATATTGTATATAATGCAAGGCAAATGCAAGTAGCTCAGGATATAAAATGGCACTGTATGTCCCGCACAGGTAGTGAAAATTTCATGCTCGGTACAGAATGGATGACATATCTTATTTCTGCGATTTTTTGAAAGAGCTTAAAGTCCCTGCAGCATGATATGATATAAAAGAAGAAAGACTGTGGACAAGAAAGGAGAAGGATAACGGGAAAAGAAAGAAGAAAATAATGGGAGGAGACCACAGGAAAGAACATGAGCAAGAACAGCCTTCAACTCAACAGGCAAAAGCAAACCACGGGGGGGTGGGAGGAGTGCACACAGCATGAGCACAAGGCTGACCCTATGACTTCACTAGTGAAGTAGGTCCTGATATTACTCTTTGCTACATCAGGTCATTATCCCTGAAGGCACAAATAAAACATTTAAACAAATGGGGGCTCAGTCAACATCCATGTCTTTGGGGGAGAGAGCAATCAGATGATGTGAATTCCCTCAGATTTGCCAAACCCAAGATACACCCTGAGTAAGATGGCTTTGTTTACAGCAATGAAGACAGAACATAGGCAGGCAGGGAAAACCCCCAAAGCATTTCAAGTCTATTCACTGGCTGTGATGCTGATGAAATCACAGCCAGATGTCAATGAGATGTCAGATTTCACCCGGTCTTGGAGAGGGAGTGCTTATCTGATGCCATATTCTATAGTAACAGCCATGCTATGGCCAAGGAAGAGGACATTTCCTTTCCACTCCCTCTCCGCAGCTCACTCTCTCAGTGTCACTCTCTCAGTGTCACTCTCTCACTATCTTGTTAAGTACCAGATGACAGTGCTTGGCTTGGGTTTGGGCCTCAGTTTTATGACTTCTTCTGTTACCCACTTTTCACTTTATTTTTTTATGAATAAGGCTCACCAAGAGCAGGGTTAAAAACAAGCTTCTGTACAGTGAATTGTAGTCAAGCACTCCTAGAAGCTGCTGGGAATTCACCTTGCCAGATGGGTAAAATCCAGAGCCAGATGGGTAAAAACATAAAGCTACTAAAAAAGTAAGGCATGGCTCCTTTTGCTGTGATGGAAAGACTGTTATTTACTTCCTCTGCTTTGTTGGTTGGGCTATGGAGAGGGTCAATACAAAAACTGTGGCAGAGTGTGTCGAAGAGCTACAAAAGAGACATGAAGGAAAGAAACATCACAACAGCAATGCTCTCAAGGCAACTGGAGCTTGCATCTGTGGCATCTACTACTTCTTATCCATCCTCTTGGCAATAGTTGTGCTGTCTATCTGAAGGAGGGGAGAAACGGTCATGAAGACAAATTTTACCTCTATTTGCACTCACATTATGAATGCAGGAATATGAATACCAACTGAAACATAGATTTCAAGTGTTTCAACCCTGAAACCACAGTTAGTGCCACAATGCTTCCCTCAGGACATCCTGTTGGGGAAACAGGACACTTTCCTTTCTCAGCACATCCTTGCAGCTGCTGCCCCCACAAATGGGTTCTATGGCAAAAATAAAAATGGGCAAGAAATTCACAGCTAAGGAGAATGTGCTATTTTCTATGTTTGGTTTATTTGTGTGTGATTATCTGGACACAATGAAGCATTAAGGAAAGTACAGAGTCTAACTATGGATTTAGATCTCAGAAGACACCCATCCCAAACAAACTGCTTAAAGAAAACAAAAATACATAAACTTTAAATCTAGACTTGTGAGTCATAAGAACTACTACATCAGATATTGTGAAAACAAAAGCAGTCTACAAGTAAAGGAGACCACCAAAGAAACTAACCTGAGCATTAAATATGGGAGAGTATGTTTTTTTCATAGACATAGTGTTAAAGCTTATCACTCTGCATACCAAAATAGATAAATAGATAAATACAGCTGAATTACCTCCTGAGCAATATACCCAAAAGGTACAGCCCTAGGGTAGTCCAAAGGAACACCACAACTAGCTTAAGCTCCAACACAAGTCCTTCATGTGTTACGTATAGCCATCAACTAAAACCAAGCACTGCTGAATAAACCTGTGCCTTTCCAGACTGCTATCAGGGCAACTGTGTGTTAAGCCATGGCACAACAGATATTTTTTAAAAACTACTTCTGTGTTCTGGGTAAGATAGTGTACTTTAATGGTAAAGATGATTACCTATGCAAAGCAAATCTATGTGCTAAAATTTATTCCATGTTTTCTTTAATTATATTAG